AATTTTTAATTTTAATAAAACCATAGCTCAAAGACAATAAAATAACCTAATATGATTTACAAGGAGACTATGGATGTATGGAAAATTCCAATAATCAGAACAATACCCTTATACATAAAATAAGAGAATTAGAGCAAGGGCAAAATTCATGTGAAAAAAAATAAAGATATGGAAGAAAGACTGCAGATAATGACAGTTACTTGCATGCAGAAGAACAATAAAGAGTTTAAAAATAATTAAAGAAATTATGATAGCTGTGGATGACAAAGATGATCCAACACAAGAATTATTGCTTTCTCTGAATTGAAGCCCCAAGCAAATGAAAATGAAAGATAGTGAGTGATATACTAGACAACATTTTCCTGAAATGAAATGGCAAAAATGTATCAGGCATCTAGGCAGAAAGTTCATGTCATCAGCAGGAGAAACATACCAGGCTGCCCACAAACTTTTTATGGCAATATTCAGCGGTGGAATTGAATAGAGCAATTAGGTAACAGGAAAAGAAGGGATGAACCATTAATAGTACTCCCAGAAAAGAATAAAGACAACAGTGAGACACCTTCAGCATGAACTATTTCAAGGATTAACAAGCAAAACTAATTAACAATGAAATACAAGTAAGGAAGAAATGATTGGAATAACAAACTCCATCATGAAGAAGCCATAATAAAAGGAGCTGATGGTTAGTACCACAGCCATCTATCTGTAGAATTAAGACCAAAGTGCCAATGCAATTAAAGTTGCAGAACATAATGTAAATATTATGAATTCTAACAAAGTTAAAATAATATAATTATCAAAAAAATTGAAAATGAAGAGGGGTAAGGACAAATTGGAGAGGAGCTAATCACCTCAGATTGCACTGCAGGGAGTTAATGAACACTGTCTGAAATTAAAATATGGAGCTAATGCATCCAGCTTCTTAATGATATTCAGAGTCTTTTATTCTTAACCATAAAGACAAGTTTTTTAAAAAAATTCTTGTGATAAAGAAATATTTAAGCTCAGCAATGCTTTCCCATTAATTTCAGATTTTTCATTTATTAAAGCATGTGTAATATATTAATTAAAAATAGCATGTAATTGTCTCTTTCTATACTTACCCTTTTATTTGTGCAGATGTGTAATTACCTAGTTGGGATGATGTTTATCATATGTTAATGGTTTCTTTTCTGAATGTAAAAATTTTGGGGGTGATATGTGTTTTTAACTTGAATAAAGACATTATAGCAAAATAATACACAATTGAACACTTAAATGTAAAATGATAATGATAATAATGATGATAATAAAATGATTACACAAACTTGCAGATATTTCTTTGTATGCATTGATTTGCATGGAGGAGATTTGCCAAGGTACCTGAAAGATACAGGGTCAGGAGTTGGGTATGTTGTATAAGCAGGGACGAAGTCTGCTATGTTTGTATGGCCCCATGGCTTTGTGTCTGAACTCTAAAAAGAATAATTGAAAACACAAGGCCAAAAACTGGTTGTGACCAAGAACTGAGCATCCCAGCTTTGAGGCCAAATGAAATGACTGTACATGAAGGGGAGAGCATGGCCTTCCTCCCAGCTCTGCTAACACAGGAGTCCCAAGAGCTCAAATTTCACTTTGCTTTGCTGTGGAGTTACAGGAATTGGAATTATCTGGTGGCAGTTCTCTTGCATAATTATCAGTCCATCATGAAGGATGCTGGGATAGGGGTCAACAGTGAGGTATCACCTTAATTAAGGACACTTGAACAGACAAAAAAATTAATAAGAGAGCTGTTCAATTAATATTAGATGAGGCTGGGTAACACAAAAAGTTCTAGAGAACTGCATGATGCAAATTTTTCGGGCAAGAATCAGTGAAATGTAGGTAATTTAACCACCTTAGTTCTCTGGACTCATGAAACCTTGGGAAAAAAAAGCCTGATGATTACATGTCCTAATTTCCTGACAGTTCAAAAATTTTGACCTCATGTTAGATCATGTGCATTGAATATTGATTCAAAATCTTACTTTCATTATTATCATTTATGTAAGGTAGCCCCAAATCCCATATCTTTCATACTTTTCCTACCTGAAGAAAACTATATATTTAACTTCACTAATGTTTAGTAAGTCCTTACTCCCTGGAAATAGTGTTGCTAATTCTGAAAGATACATTGAATTCTTCAGATATTTCAAATATAGAATATAATATTTTCCTGTGTACTGATAATAATGGACCACTTTAAAAAGGTTGCTTTTTTAAAAACATGGAGAAGAGAATAAACAGTGATATATAATAATAAACTTGAAATATCTATAGATATCTGCTGGTAGGGGCAGGGGACCAATTAGCATAGAGTAGAAACAGCCCATGGTTTACTAGGTTAGGAGACTAGATGTGTGTGTCTGTGGGCAACTGCATTTTTTGATTAATAGAGATCATTCTGTCTAGTTGTATGGGATTAAATTCCTACATAACCAGGAAGTTACTTTAAATAAAAAAATTCTTTATTTCAGAGTGGAATACTTACTAAATATAAAGAAAGCTACCCACTGACATTAATTCAGGAAAACACACACACACACATACACACACAAATCAAAATTACAGGAAAAAAATTTGCACAAATTAAAATTGTTGTACACAATAGTAGTATTTTTCTCATCTTAATTGAATCTTTATAAGTATCTTTTTAATTGAGTAGATTTCTTTAAGTTAGACCTACAGGAACTTTAACATTTTATCATAAAAATTATTTGAATACACAAAAATGTGTGTAAATACTGAAATGTATAATGGGGTTTTGAAAAATCTCATTTCTACTAGTATTACTGAAATTTTGGTATTCTTTCTTAATCTAAGAATTAAGTGTTTTGATAAGTTTCTACGAAACTCACTTTATTACTAAGAAAACTCAGGCTCAGGGAAACTGTGGCTGGCTTTTTAAAACAGTGAATAGGCTTTATGGCAGAGAATGAACAACTGCATACATTCATGGACAAAAGAATCCTAACCCAGAACTGTTTATAAAAGACATATTTTTCTCTTCATTTGTGTTCATAGTGTGTGTGTAGAGAAATTTTCAAAGAGGAAACGAATCTCTATTTTTTCTCTTGTCACACCCAGCCTCCTGTCTGACTGTTGAGGATACATGGTCCCACCTGCTCTCACTGTGCCAGGCTTTGCAGTCACCACTGAGAGACAAACGATAAAAGAAGAGATGTGAGGACAAGCAACAGGTCTGGGATGTGAAAGGAGCATAGAGGTTTCAATCAACACAGTGGGTTTTGGAAATGCTTATGAACTTGAGGTGATGAACTTCCCCAGGGATAAAGGTTAGAGAGTCTGACTGCCACCAGCTCACACTTTGAAGCTCACACATTAGTCGACTCTCTTATTTGGTCCACTGATGGCGTAAACATACATCCCAGTTTCCCAGGAGAATCCTGGTTTACAGCTGTTGTTACACTCTCAAAAATGTTCTGGCTGGGAAGATAAACTCTGTGACCTGCCTGCTGGCGAAGGGCTTACCAACCCTTCTCTAAGTTGGATTCCCAGGCAGCCACTCTAAATTGATCTAAAATGGCTTTGAAGGTAAATCTTTGCTGTCCCTGGACTTATCAGTGGAATGCATTTTCGAAGAAGTTCCTGCCTATGATTACTCTCACCTTCCTGTGTTAAGTAATTTCTTGATTTCCATGCATAAGTTTTCATTTCCTCAAATATTAAACTGTTTAATAGTGCCAACCACAAGAAGAACCAGTAAATAAGTGAGTGTTGGTGATGTCCAGTCAGAGGGAAGGCACTAACTTGGGTATGCATGTTAGTCTTTTAGTTTTCATAAAAAGAAAATAAAACAAAAATACAACTTTTTTATTTTAAATTTAGTAAGTTTTTATAGTAAGGTCAGGTTTTCATACATGTGTCTATCATATTATTCGTCTTCCCAAAATCCAGCAAGTAATCCCTCAATGTAAAATTCTAGTACCTAGAGTGGCAATCAATATAACATATTTGTGAAGCTCTGCAGGTTCATACAGAATAAAATAAAATTTAAAGTTAATATAATTAACCTAATTAGAAGTTTTATAAAAATAATCCTCTGTTTTGTTTTCACTTTGATATTTAAGGGAAAAATAGCTTTGAAGCAAATTATTAAACCATGGCTTACTATGAAACCCATTTGCTAATATATTATATTGGTAATATTTAAAAATTATTCTAATCTAAAATAGACTTTCATATTTATGAAGGTTAATAATCTTTCCACATTTTATACAATAACAAGATTTTCATTTTTTCTGACTTACTAAATTTCCACACATACATACATATGCCCAATAGATTTTGAAAGATTCTAGTTTTATTTTCATGTACCCAAGAATACTTGCTACTTTCTGAAAAGTAACACACTGAAGCCAAAATGCACAATGATTAAGCTACAATCTTTTGATTTTTAGCATGCTGCTCAGTGAGATAAAATACCCACAAGGCACACATACACACACCCACACATTTGAAAGGGTAAATATTCTCACTTGTTTTAAATAATGTTCATCCAGAAATAAATGGAATTTCTATACTAAGACTCTTTCTCATCTTTTTTTAGAAAATGCATGTTCATTTGAGCTAAAAAGATTTATAATATATTAAAATAAAACCATTTATTCAAGTCAATGTTTCCTGCAAAAATTACTCAAGATGTATCAAATGCCCCTTTTGAAATTACTATAATTGTGTATTTTTTACTTCTATTGAAAAATAGAGGGGCAAATTTATAGACTAACTAAAGCAACACTGCAGTTTAATTCAAAATGGTTCTCTAATTTGTCAGTTTAAAACTAACCTTCTCCACTGGTTTTTCAATTGTTTCACTGTTTTGATTTCTTCAAATCAATCTTTCGCTTAAGGAAACTAAATACATGCTGAAGATATAAGGGGGTTTTAGCCTCCTATTTCAAGCTAAAACATAACCTCTAAATTATCTTTTACAGTAAGCCAAAGCCAGGATCACATACCTTTCGGGAATGAATTTCTTTCACATACAATGGAAGTAGAAACTCAGATATACCTTCAAGTCGGATTCCCTTCTTGGTGACTCTCAGATTTCCCATACCATCCTACAAGCAATGAAATATAATTCACTTTTAGGTTAATTAGAGAATGAATAACTGGCCATAATTTTCTTAGGGCTAAATTGAAAAAACAGTAAGCTCAAATCAGTGATGATTTAAGGAAAATGAGAGATTGAATCTACTTAATGAATGATTGCAGCAGTTTGCATGCATATAAAGGGCTCTGTTTAAAATGAACAGGAAAAGAGGTATATTAAGGACCTGGTATCTTTTCTTAGCTCTATCAGAGATTAGGATTTACCTATGAAAAAAATCCTGTACTTGTTTCATGCATCAGCCAGTTTAACTATTTTGGGGGTATAATGATACTTGCTATCTGACTATTGGAAACAACTTTGCTTGCAGAGAGTTCTAGCAATATTTTTACATCACAGTTATCACATATTTCTACAGTAGTCAAATAGATTTGTACAATGATTTCAACAAGTACTTAATAATTGGCTAGCGTAAGCTTGGTGTTCCTGTATTCAAACCATGAGTAAATCTTATACCCTCTCCTTTAGAAACAACACTCTATAAGGAGGATAAAACAAGTACATATATAACATTTATGAGATAGAATAAAATAAATTTAAAAAGTAAGAATGGAGTGCTAATAGGAATTAAAGAAAGATTTCAAATTTGATAAGAGAGTGAACAATTTCTCATGGAAGAGATTAAGTTTGAGAAGGGCCTTAAGAATATGGAGTTTCAACAGGAGATGTCCACAGAGGGATGGATGTTTCGACATAGATGTCCATTACAGAATGAACATTCTATAACATTAAGAAATAACATGCCATCCAATCTTGCTAATAATATGGACTATTGTGAGAAAAAACAACTGGGCGTATGTTTTGAAGCCAGTGAAAGGAAAGCCATGAATGCAAAGGTAAGGAGTCTGTACTTACGTCAAAAGAAGAAGAAACATAAAAAGTTCTTGAATAGCTCAATGGCTTGAAATGATCAGAATTAAGCTTTAAGATTAATGTAGTAGGAGCACTATGTGGGGCTAACTGACATAATATCAGTAAGAAGGCACAACTTGGTAATACATGTAAGGAGGGTGGTGGAAGAACAGCCTACAAGACAAGGTGACTAATTTTATCTGGAGATACTAAAAACAGGGACATTTATGACTAACCCCAGGTTTGTGACTATGACCCAATAAGGAAATGCAGTGATTTTTTAAATTGGAATAATGAAATTTGTACACTCAATGGCAAAATGAGTTTAGCTTTGGACTTCCTAACTTTGAGGTATCATTGAAAATTCAGATATTTATCCATCAACTAACACATCTGTAAAAAAGAGGATTGGAGAGTGACAACTGCTTAAGGCACGCTTGAATCTACTATAATGGATGAGTAATTCCCCCACAGAAATATGTCTATAAAACCACAGAGAAACTCTTAGATAATGACCAGGTCTACAGGTTGGAAAGAAGCATTTCATACATTCTGGGAGACTATAATCAGTGTCAGAAGAAAACTAAGAAATTATGATGGACCCAGCCTCTACCACCTGACCCCACCTTCTTCCCCAAAAGAAATGAATAGAACTTTGAGTAAGAATTAAAGGACTGTTTTAATCACACAAGGAAAATGACTACTGAGAGATATTTTGACATGGTGAGGTTTCAGTCCTCTAATGGAAGGACAGAGTAATGAATTCTGGTTGAATTAAACTTGGAATGGATGAAGGGATTCATTTCTTGAGACTCAAACTTAGAGTTAACACTGGAAATGGCTAATAGGGAATTGACTAAATTTTTTATAAAAAATTTAAAAAGAATTTCAGGCATCACTGAAGACTTATTCTGATGAGAAAATAGGTCTACTTTTGTTGGGATGACACACCCTAGTTTCTCTGAGACAGAACTGGTTTATACCACTTTTATATTATCCTCTTTCACTTTCAAAAGTGAAAAGTGTTTCTGATTTAGACATCAATTACAGGGGCGCCTGGGTGGCTCATTTGTTAAGCATCTGCCTTCTGCTCAGGTCATGATCCCAGGGTCCTGGGATTGAGCCCCACATCAGGCTCCCTGCTCAGCGGGAAGCCTTCTTCTCCCTCTCCAACTCCCCCTGCTTGTGTTCCCTCTCTCGCTGTGTATCTCTCTGTCAAATAAATAAATAAATAAAAAGACATCAATTACATAGTCACCCATTTGTGGGCTCTAATTAGTATCGTTTGGCAACATCATACCTATCTAGAAACAGAAACTGGCAGAATTAACAGGGAGAGACTCAAAACAGAATTTGCTAAGCAGGAATGGCAGAAGGTCGTAAGTATGTGGCATGTCAAAATGGCAAAAAATGATGACCCTCAAATGGCTGACCATCATTTTTCTCATTGGGTGGAGATAAGTAAAGCCAGAACACCAATGTTAGACAGCAAAAATAGCACAGGGTTAGGGAATGGCAACTGATGATCAATTAATGATCGAATTCAGTAGGAGTTAAGAAATATGAGAAATGTTAACACAGGTTTATCATCAGAAAATAGAACTTCAGATTTTGAGGGTTTTTTTTTTTTGCAGATTTTGAGATCTTGAAGGTAAAAAAATTTCCAGATATCATGAAGCCTGAAGAACACCTGAGCAGTGGGCAGTAACAGAGTGGAGACCAAACTCTTTGTAATTCAGAGAGAATGTACAAAGTGACACATGGTTTTAAAATATTATTTTGCCCCTGAGAGATTTTTTTTTTTTTTAAGATTTATTTATTTGTGAGAGAGAGAATGAGAGAGAGCGAGCACATGAGAGGGGGGAGGGTCAGAGGGAGAAGCAGACTCCCTGCCTAGCAGGGAGCCCGATGCGGGACTCGATCCAGGGACTCCAGGATCATGATCCGAGCCGAAGGCAGTTGCTTAACCAACTGAGCCACCCAGGCGCCCCCTGAGAGATTTTCTTGACTAAATTTCACACAGTGACTGTCCATATATATATTCTCAAATGCCTGCCGGAAGGAAGTGTTCTGAAATGTTCCCTATTGAAGTTGCTATGGAAACATCTAAGGCAACTATTAGTCTAACTTAGAACAACAGAAATAAATTCTATCATAAACATAATTCCCAGTTCAACATTAATCTTAAAAAAATGTTTTCATAAGATGGTTAGAAATAAAAGAACTGGGCATCCAAAGTTAACTGTGATATTACTTATGCTATATGCATATTTAATTTTGGAAAGTTTTGAATCAAACTCAATGTTTTCCTTTTATATTTTCTATATAATATATGACTTAGGGCATATAAATCTATTTTATTTAATTAGATGAATAGATTTTACCCTGTATAAATATAGGAGACTTAGGGTAGTATTGTGTTTGGAATCTAACCTCACTCTACTATATCCATTTGTTCCTCCTTTTATTTCTCCTATTTTGAATTAAAAAGTGAATATTTAAGTTCTTACATGCTATCTACATGTAGTTATAAAAGACAGAGAGGTGCATAATATATTCAGTAAAGTCAACCTGATCCTCCCATGCATGTACCAAGTCCATTAATAATTTATGAGATGGTGAAATAATCTGGTTTCTCTTCTGCAGGAGCATTAGAAAGTGATTTTATTCTTACTGTCACTATACTTTCTTGATGCACTATATTTTTGGTCCCTTCAACATCTAAAAGGGAGAAAATAACTTCCGGATTTGCTGCTAAGGATGACATTGCCAAAACACCAGAAAATAAAGAATTTAATATACCTATGGTTCAGGCCTCAACCTTGGCTCTGTCATTTTTGTCCTATGTAGGCTTGAACTTAACTAATTTCTTTGTTTTTTAATTTAATTTAAATAATATTATCACCTTAAATTTATCACCAGTAAAAGCAGTAAAAACACAACTTAATGTATTTATTGCAAGGATTGCATGAGGATATAAAGAGCTTACAATAATACCTTACTTATGTAGAAGTATTCAATAGCTTTAACCATTTTTAATATTCTACCAAAAATAATTTAAATTTTTGTCTCATATCATTATTATAAAATTCATATTGTTTATTTTCAGAGATATTATCTTTGAGCTTCAGTAGACTCTACATCAAGCTTTATCGTCATTATAGTTATGATGCAGTTATTCATCACCTAGTAATCTCACAAATCACTTACCTACTCTTGACAGACAGTGTAGTGTCATTTTAGAAGGGAATGTGGAGCCAAACAGCTTGAATTTGAAACTTTCTACTCTCTATATCCAAACTGCTATATTTGCATTTTTTGATAAAATGTATCATATTCTGATTATAGTTTTCGTTAACTCTTCTTAAAAAGTAAATGATCTTATTTATGTATGTACTTACTCCTTCTTCCAGCATAGTCTTTCCAACAGTGGTTTTATGTGGTATGTATATACTGAATGCTTGAGTAATTGATCAGTAGAATTTATATCTTTACATGATAAATAATAAAACAAAAGTCCTTATAAAATCATATTATCACCAAAATCCATAGAATTTATCTATAGAAACTGCAAACAATCTTTACTATAATTTTCATGCACTTGATTTTTTGGGCAAGTTGGAAGATACTTTGTTGAGAAATATTCTTTTTGGAATTTATTATGAGAAATAGACATTAAAATAAATAATAGGTATAGATGTAAAGAAAGAATACTGATAGCCATGTCATTTTAATTTAAAATCCACACTCATAACTTTGCAGTGATCTTACCTTAGTGCACTCTGTCCTCACACAAGATTCTTTATGATGCTTAGCTATCTGGTATTAGGAGAGCTGTTTAGAAGGTGGCTACCCTCAGAATTTGAATTACGCCTTAACAGGCAAATGTAACTTTCCCAAAGTAATGAAGATGTTGACATGGAATTGAGAAAAAATTTAAAAATTGAGGTGATTATTAAACAATATATAAAATCTGGTGCTTCATTAATTTTTTTGAGAGGGCAGAGGGGCAGAGGAAGAGAGAGAATTTTGGGGCAGGGCAGATGGAGAGAGATAGAATCTTAAGCAGGCTCCAGGCCCAGTGCATGAGCCTGACGC